CACATGCAGACACATAAACAAACACACACACACACACACACACACAGACATATGCACATATGCACCTAAACCAACCAAACCACCTCATACCTCATCAAAGAGTTTAGATTTATGGATAAGCCTGTGTGTTGTTTCAACTTGCTAGCCTGAATTATCCCTTATTCTCAGAATGTCCGTCACACAACTGACGAAAGCTTAGCACGTTTTCACGACAATCGAAGCGTCAATAAGAGTGCTCCAGTAAAACTAATCGGAATCCGTCAGTGGTCGTCTTCTGGCGAGATCAACTTTCGAGTCTCTTCACCAAACAGTTTCACCCGAAGTGAAAATCAGCTCAACAAAAAAGCAATTTCTGCAGAAACTAGGGTTCAGGAAAACTGCTGCTTTCAATGTCAATAAAACATTGCAGTTCTGAATGAATCTGACAATAAACCTGATGACAACCGAGGCCTATGAGGCTCGATTTAAGAGTTTTCCGTCAAATCTCCCGATGACCAATTACTCACATTAGCTTACACTTCGGTTCGTGAATATGCGTGCTTGTGCATGTGTGCGCAGGTGCACCAAAAAGGGTAGAGGGTAAAAATGTTTACGCGGAAACCCGTACGTATGTCCGGATCCGTCGCTCTGACCAGAGCCCGAATGCCTGGCGAGTTGAATGTGCCAGGGCTCAGCAACCCACGACCTTTGGACAAGCTTCCAGCTAGCGCAGGTTGTAGGAAAACATGTCACCAGAAATGCGTTGCCTAACCTAAATGACATGATGTCTGATCTGTATGTAACCAAGTATTTAACCTCAAGCCCGTAATACGAAATCGCCCATTCTCTACTTTAGGATATAAATACAAACTGGGTCTCGAAGAATTACTTAGTGAGTTGTTGTGACATGAACTTGCATTTCGAGTGAAAAGTTAGTTGGAAGGAATTCGTGAAGAGAGGATTGCCGCGAATTGGAGACCGTTGGATCGCACCAAGAAGACCTCGGCTCATTGTCCTGCGACCCCGTTCAACCTGTGCTAAGCTTTCGTGTGTAGTGCCCTGACAGACATGACCAGATCGAGAATATATACCTTAAGAAATGTACTAAACCAAGAGAAAGGGTGGCCGGCTGCAACCATAATCACTTTTTTGTATACACTTTTCCTTGCCATCTTAATGAGGCAATGACGAAAGCTGAGCACAGGTTCATCGGAGTCACAGAACTGTGCGCAGCACAATCTGACAGTCTTCATTCCACTCCAAGAAGATGCTTCTTCTGTTTCCGATGAGACCATTTCACCAATTCTCTTTAGCCAACTTTTCATTTGAAATGGAATGGAATGTCACACTTCTTTGGATTCTCCTCTTTTCTGCTTTTCGTGCCGATTATAAGCCTCGTTTTTGCGTCAAATTTGCAGACTTCTTTAGGGTCCACTTGGTAATACCTATTGGATCTCTGCTCCGCCCGAGTGAACTTCGCACCCTTCAACGCTATCCCTCAACCTGTAGCCAGCACGTTTGCAGAATGGTCGTCAGGCTGAATCGTATCTCGGACGGCCGACCCTCCATTCCTCCTTCAGAGACTTGGGCGCAACCGGTTCGCAATGTCCAGTCGCCTTTGTCGCTGGTCTTCACGCTCTCCGATCGACTGATAAACATACAAAGCCACAGACTCTCGGACGAGATACTTTTGGAGACAATACTTGCCAGTCTGGCCAACTTCTGGAGAAGCCAGGCATTCTGACGATAATTGACCGAATCCTCACGTCGATTCGAGTGGCAGAGGATTTTCAGCAGATGCCACAGTAAACGAGACTTCGAGAGAAAATACGCTATGTTGTGCATATTTAGTATCCATAATTACTAGGTCTACATACAGACCATCTGCCCGGGCAATTCCTCAATCAGTTCTTCCCAATCTTACGCGACCTAATTTCACTGTGCGCAGTTGTGTATATGCATGTGCATGTATGCATGTGCATGTATGCATCTGTGTATATATATACATATATATATATATATATA